CTTATTGAATAATTTGCTGAAAAAAAATACTGATCTATACATTTAAAATCTAAATTTTCACCGTGCAACGCCGGGTAACTCAGCTAGTATCATTATAAAGGCGGTGTGGTTTTCTGGGCAGCTAATTCCTACAAACTTGAAGCAAACTTCCAGAATAACAGAACAGCATTCTTGTTTTGTATTTAGATATTATTTAAGAGCAAGTCAGCAATGGACATTGAATTAATCTGTACACATTAAGCACCAAGGCAAACTAAGAATGGTTCGGCTAATGTCACGTGAGGTAAAAAAAACTAACTAATTCAATCAGTTTCTGGTTCAGCTGTGGTGAACTGTGTAGTTAATGTCATTAACTGTAACTACAGTGAACTGTGGTATCAATGTTATTAAACTTAATTATGGTGAACTATGGTATCAATGTTATTAAACTTAATTATGGTGAACTATGTAGTTAATGTCATTAAGTCTAACTACAGTGAACTGTGGTATCAATGTTATTAAACTTAATTATGGTGAACTATGTAGTTAATGTCATTAAGTCTAACTACAGTGAACTGTGGTATCAATGTTATTAAACTTAATCATGGTGAACTATGGTATCAATGTTATTAAACTTAATTATGGTGAACTGTAAAGTCAATTCCATTAATCCTAGTTACTGTGAATTGTAGTATTAAAAACCACTAACCCTAATTACGATATACTGTATCGCCAAAGTCATTAATCCTAATTACTGCGAACTACGTAGTCAATTACATTAACCATCATAAGGTAAACTTTCAGAATATTAAAAACCAAAACAATGTTTACTTCATTACAATAAAACGTAAAATAATTCGGTAGTTTAACCAAACATACAGTGCATCCATTGAGGTATCCGCTTCTAATCTACCACACACTGACTTGATTGACTGAGTTAGCTTTTAAAATACATATGAATCAACACTAAAATAATACACATCATAAGATGCATGTTTTCAATAAACTAACATGTTAGTTCCTCGCATTGTGCACATTTTTAGAGCTATTGAGGAATGATCGCAATTAACGAAAACTATCTGCATTTCGTATAGCGACACTTTTAAGCAATACTTAGCCAAAGGACAGATTTCGAAAAAGGGCGTCTTTAATGTTTCTCTACGGAAGCGAAAAAACTCGTTTAAGACAGCAACGGGTTCCGAAATCACTCCCCAAGCTAATTCGGAGCAACGCCCCTATTCACAGAGTGAGTTTGTGGTTAAAAGAAGAAAAAAAAAAACTCTCCTTCTCGATAAGCCATTGTGGTGATGGTGAAACTGGACATATCTCCTGGTACAGTAATACAGTAAACAAAGTAATATTTAAGACTTCAACTCGGCAAAGTTTCATAAGCCATGCGTTCACAAGCTACCAGCAACACACCAAGAAATGAACGGACAATTTCATTAAAAATATGACCAAAGAAATTGACACAACATAAAGCTCAAGTACCCGATGTATTTCCATGGGTCTTTGTACTTTTGGTTTACTTAAACGTATTTTTGAAAACTACAGTGAGGGGGGGGGGGCTGTAAAAAGTTTAATCAATATATGTAGTTTAAAAGCGACAATGGAAATTGCGATGTCGGGTACTACTACGTAATCATGGTCATCCAACTTTCGACGATAAAAGAAGAACTTGGATTCCAAGGGCAGCTCGAGACCTGGAACATCATTTTATAAACTACGATTAACTCTCGCTACTGAGTACATTCGATGACAAAGGAAGAACTTCCAAGAGCAGCTCGAGACCTGGAACATCGTTTTTATAGACTACGATTAACTCTCGCTACTAAGTACATTCGATGACAAAGGAAGAACTTCCAAGGGCAGCTCGAGACCTGGAACATCGTTTTTATAGACTACGATTAACTCTCGCTACTGAGTATATTCGACGACAAAGGAAGAACTTCCAAGGTCAGCTCGAGACCTGGAACATCATTTTATAAACTACGATTAAATCTCGCTACTGAGTGCATTCGACGACAAAGGAAGAACTTCCAAGGGCAGCTCGAGACCTGAAACATCGTTTTATAAACTACGATTAACTCTCGCTACTGAGTACATTCGATGACTTAGGAAGAACTTCCAAGAGCAGCTAGAGACCTGGAACATCGTTTTTATAGACTACGATTAACTCTCGGTAGTTCCACCACTAACAATGACAAAATGTATATTTTCATACTTAGATCAACGCTCCCTATTCGTTTAAATATAGTTTTGAAACACCCACAAGTATTTAATTCTACATTTTTTATTCCAGTAGACACTGTTAGTCTTGATTGTGTTCAAAGATCCATTATTTGCACCGGGTGTTTTGGAAATGTTTTTCTTTATTTGTTTGAAATCAAGCACAAAGCTACACAATCTGTGCTCTTCCACCACGGGTATCGTTGTAAGTCCGCAGACATACCGCTGTGCTACTGGGGGGAGGGGCGGAAATGTTTTTAATAACATGACTTTACAAATTCTTTCACGACATTTCAGTAAAATATTTCCATACATATACGTATAAATTTTAAGTAGAAAACATTCACTTTTTATAGAATACAACCGCACTTGTATATGACTTTTCAATAAAATACTTCCGTAGTCATGTATTTAATGAAAAAAATTCCATATATATACATATGTACAACGTTTCAGAAGTATGCGTCCATAGATACATATATATATATATGACTTTTAAAAGAATAATTCTATACACATGCATACACAATTATAATATAGACATGCTAGCATAAATAACATTTTTTTACTGGTTATTTCTGATTAGCTCAACATAGCCTGTTTCTTTAAATTCTGGCCCTGGATAACCCAGAATTATTACGTTGCATTGTCATAATCTTCAAAGACGCTGTGTAGTGATGACATTTCAGAAGTAACAACTTATGTGAAAAAATAAAAATACTATTTGTAAGGTACAAGATGAAACATTCGCCACATTGAAATAAGTTTACTGACGAATGTTTCACGCTTTGTTTCCTTCTACATTCTGTGCTTTCTTTTCCTACGCAGTTCTTTCATTACAAGAACAATTTTAAAGGTACTGAATCACACACAAAATAGTTTAATACGTACAAAGTACATCTTAAGTATCAACAGTTAACAATATTCTTTATTGTGGTCGTACCTGGACACGTTGTATGAATCAGCTACATGTATAATATGATCATTGTACAATACAATAGGAACGATACGCATGTGTTAAAAAACTGTTATGGGCCGGGTGTGTCTATAGTGATTAGCGTGTCAGACTGTGGATCAAGGGTTTGGGTTTGCTTTGTTTGGAATTTCGTGCAAAGCTACACGTGGGATATCTGCTCTCGCCGTTCCTAATTTAGCAGTGAAAGACTAGAGGGAAGGCAGCTAGTCATCATCACCCACCGACAACTCTTGGGCTACTCTTTG